CTATATATATCACCAAAATTACATTGTGAGAGAAGGGAACAGTCTCAAGGAGATAGGTGGTGATGGCCTTTAAGGGTAGGGTTATGGAGGCATCTCACATACACACACAGCACCTTAAGGATGGATAAACACAGGGAAGAAGGGGATGAGCAACCACGCAGGGGGAGACCAAAGGAGTGTTTACGTTCTGAGGTAAGGGGAGGAGGAGGGGAAAGAGAGGGTCACCTTTGTATTATTTGTTGTTGTCCTCTCTCTCTCTCTCTCTCTCTCTCTCTCTCTCTCCCTGTTGTGAGGGATGGTGCTGTCTTTTTCTGATGCAAAGTTTGAGAGGGAGAGGGAGACAGAGTTTCCAGTGCTCCCTTATCTCGCTAGATAGAGGTACAATAATGATTATAAGATGTAATAGCATTGTGTATATATATATATATATATATATATATATATATATATATATATATATATATATATATATATATATATATATATATATATATATATATATATATATAATGTGTGTGTGTGTGTGTGCGTGTGCAACATTTTTAGCTCAATAGATACAGAGAAAGAAGAAAACAGGGAAAGAAAGAAAAAGAGACAGACAAAAACTTTATGTTCTCATCCAATCTCGTTACACCAGGATATGATGGTGTGTCACCAACCAGCAGGATCACGAGACAAACAATCATCTTGGTGGCAGTAGACAAGGGGGAAGAGAGAGACACTCCTGTTTCCCTTCTCATCTCGTTACTGTGAGGGATGAATTGTTCCCAGTGGGACGTAACATACTCATCCACAGGGAAACGTCCTTAGAATTATAACTGAGGACACACACACACACACACACACACACACACACACACACACACACACACACACACACACACACACACACACACACACACACACACACACACACACACACACACACACACACACACACACACACTTTCTGGCGCTCACTTCATCTCGCTAGTAATGCTAAGTAGCACTCACCAGCAGCTGAAGACAGACAGACAAAGACCTTAACTGTACCCTCCCCGCCTCCCTTTATCTCACCAGAGTGAAGGATGATACTGTCAGTCAGAGGCAGCGTCACGAGATATGGCGCCATCTCCGTTCCTCATAACTGCCTCTTACTACGAAGAGTAATAGTGCCATCACATCACCTAAGAGTGCTATCTATCACCCCACTTCCCCTTACTGTGTCTCACGCCTGCTCTATATCATAGGTACCTGGAGATCATTCTACGTGCATGGAGGTAGTGATAGGTATCTGGAGATGATGATAGGTACCTGGAGATGGTGATAGGTACAGTACCTGGAGACGATGATAGGTACCTATAAATGGTGATAGATAGCTGGAAGTGGTTCTATGCGCACGAGCATCTTTAATATAATAAGCTCCCACTGGACTTATTAATAGCATTAGGGGTCCCAGTCTTAATAGACACCAACCACTAATGATCCTCGATGCAAATGGGCCCCTATTCCTCACGGGCCTAATCCTGATAACTAGATTAAATGTGGTTAGGCTAGGACCTATTAGGACTGAAGTTTATGATGAGTGGGACTGGAAACTATTAAACACGAGACCATTAATGACGGGATACTTAGGTTAATACTTATTGGGGCCAGAACCTATTAGAAAAATGGCCGAATACGATTGGGATCTATATATCAGGACTGTTTCCTATTAAGACTGGGGGCCTTTTAAGAGTGAGGCCCATTTGACCTGCATCATCGCTTGAAACACAGTTCAACAAACTTTCCGGCGTTTCGTGGAGGGCCCTTGTAAGTTACGTCTCGGCTACATTACACTTGTTGAAGAAAAACTTTTTTTATGGAGACAAAATTTTTTATGTGTTCTTGAAGTGACAATAACTCGTACCTCCCAAGTCTTATACCTTTTAGAGATGATATGGATGTGTGTGCGTTTGTGGGATGGTATTTGTGCTTGCTTACTATCTGCGTATGTGAACGTATGATTTATTGCTGTAGTGTTTGCTGTATAAATCTGTATGAATGTTTTCCTGCGTATGTTAGACTTAAAATCAACATTAAAAAAAAAAGCACCGGCACACATTTTTTTTTAACACAAGTATCCTCATTCACCTCTGTAACCAAACACTCCACCAGACCAACGCAGTAAAAAAAAGGAAAAAAAACAGAATACATTCCCTCGCAACCCCACACTCTTTAATGCAATCCCAGTCAACAACGTGTACGAGGAAATTCTCCCTTTGTAATCAGGAGAGACAATAACCATATTAGCGTAAATTACGAGTTTTGGAGGCGGGAAGGAGGAAGGGAGGGGGGGAGGTATTTGGGAGAGGGAGTGTGGGGAGGGGGGAACAGGCGAGTCTCTCCGCTCTGTGACTATGATAATATTAACTCAAGATGTAATCGCGAGGCAAAAGTTCGTACTCTCATTCACAATTATAGCTTCTTGGGGTATATAACAGTATCTTGTGTTTTCCTGTGTTCTCTTGGTGGGGAGGGGAAGGGGTGAGGCTGTAGGAGGTGGAGTGTCAAAGGAGGGATTGTAAGAGGAAATTAGGGAAGGAATCGTAACAGTTCTCAGGGAGGAGAGATGTAAAATGCTGTCTTATTAACCAACTTTGTTAAGGAGCTAAGGTTCAGCCACACACACACACACACACACACACACACACACACACACACACACACACGCGCGCGCATACACAAAGAAAACTGTTCAGAAAGGGACTGTCACCTTTGTTATGAGTGAACAATGCGAACTACCACTTTATTTGAACAGTTCCACAGATTGAAATAGGAGGACCTGTCACGTACTCGCACTATATTGTACTCTGTAACCATAGGCGGGAATATTTTTGGAGCACTTTACCACACCAATACATTTGTTTCTAAGGTAATCATTCCTTTACAAGACGAACCATTTATCTCTCACACTCGTAAATTTACTCCCCACGATCCTTCATCCAGTCCCAAGCTAACCCCATCCGTTTCAATGATAGCTAAACCACAGCTTTTCTACGCTAGCACAAACAGTAAGTTCCTACGCCATTCAGCTTATCACCACGCTAGTCAGTGTGCTTCCAGACTATTAGATTCTCACATTACTTGGATAAAAGTATAACGGGCTCTGTGGATAATGTACATTGAGACTAACACCGCATGTACAGTATGTGTAATGTGTTTATCTTTGAAATCACTATTTGGAAACGCTGTGTTGTATCTGAATTTATTGCTTGGACACGGTACATTGTGTTATTAATACATGAATTGGATACAGCCTTACGTCCACAGCCAACACGCCAACACGCACACAAACATACTACTCAGTGTCAACTTGGTCCAATCTATATTCTGTAATGTACATGTTGCAGAGTAATATATACCACGTCGCTGAATTCAGGTTTCAGATAGTGAGAGCCAACAGGCACTTGGGGTATTCACTGTGTAAGTCCAATATCTAATATCTGAATCCCGATGACTTATAAACAAAGGTATGACAAGGGAGAAACTAACTTGGGTAATTACCAAATACTCTGTAGCGTAATCGACAATGAACTGATTCACTGTAGCTTATTAAACTGACTGTAGAAACCATAACGTCTTTCATGTATTTAATCTTACCCATACCTGTCACTTCTTCAGCTTTACTCAACTATTACATAAATTAAAAAAAAAATACACAAATCTGACCTTTGGGTTGTAACGACTATGCAATGGGCACTTTCTTGACCATACTCTCTGTCGAATGGTCCAATAAAATCGGAAGAAATGACCACAACACAGCCCCCGATAAAACGACTTTTGTGTAGTCAATAGAAAGGTGTTTACCTCTCTACCAATATGGAGGACTCAGCTGACAAGAAAGTGACGTCACGTTGCTTGCCATCTCCAAACTGGTCCAAACTTTATCGAGAGTTAATACACACACTCGAGAGGTCCTTTGTTCTCGTCTAAGTTACGTCACTCAGCCTTTGGTAATTTACACGATATATTGTCATTATTGTGATAGACGGTACATAAAGAGTTGATATTGTTTTATTTAATGCTACAATACTTCGAGTTTCTACTGTTATTGTTGAAATTAAAATTATTATTATTATTATCATTATTACCGTATTTATCATTGCTGTCATTCTCATCTTCATTCTCATCAGTCTCACAACAAGACCGGATTACAAACACGCCCACGCCCACGCCCACAAGGGTATTAAACAACTTATGGCAGTAGAGCACCCGCAGCGAATACATCGTGAGTGTGTGTGTGTGTGTGTGTGTGTGTGTGTGTGTGTGTGTGTGTGTGTGTGTGTAGTGAAGTGTACCTCAGGCACTTGGTCGTATTATAGTTGTAGCAAACAGGGTGGGGGGGTCAACTTAGATGCTAGCGGATGTGGGCGGCTGTAGTCGTAATTGGATTGGTGAGAGGGAGGGAGGGAGGGAGGGAGGGAGAGATGTAAAAGAGATACAGAAAGGAGGGAGAGAGTGGGGGGAAGGAAAGGGAGGGAAATATAAGAATAAGAATAAAAGGGGAAGAAAGGTTGCTTGGAGGAGTGAAGAGGGGAAAAATATAGAAGAGAGGGGATGAGAGGGGAGGAAAGAGAGAGAGAGAGAGAGAGAGAGAGATGTAAAGGGTGTCATTCCACATTCTCTTACATTGAACTAAACCCTCCTCGACTAAACTGACCGAAACTTAATGAAACTGAACTATTAATACCGATAACTCATTTTAATACGTGACATATTATATAATGACTTTCCCACTGATGAAAAATAAATTCTTCTCATCAGTGTAACTAACTCAGATTCATTATTATTATTATTATTATTATTATTATTATTATTATTATTATTATTATTATTATTATTATTATTATTATTATTATTATTATTATTATTATTATTATTATTATTATTATTATTATTATTATTATTATTATTATTATTATTATTTTTTTATTAATGATTGAGCTATGTTAATTAATAAAGTATGTTTTTTTTTTCAGATGACAAGTATGGTCCAAGATTCGCCATTCGGGAGGACACTGTCATCATCAATGCTCAACATCAGGGTAAGTTTGTTTACGTGTATCTGATTATCTTCTTTTCTCTCATAACAACGATTTAATACCATATATTTACACTTTGTTTCTTAGGTTAATATATATATCAATAAATCCGTTGAGTACCACTGATTACTGTACAATCGATAAATCCCCCTCGGTGTCTTAGATATAGTCAATAAATCCCCCTCAATACCTTGCATAAATCTGTTGAATACTAATAATTGATTCATAAATCCATTGAGAAACTAGGAATTGATTCGTAAGTCCACTGATTACTGAGAATGAACCCGTAAATCCACTGAGTGTGTTCAGCCCGGTTACTGATGTTAATCCCTTAAACCTCTCAGTAATGTAAAAGGATATATTAATAATTCCGTCACCCATAAAAACCCAGCAAACAGGACAATGAGGAAAGCACGTAGTAAGGACAAACAGATAGGAAAATAAGGAAAAGATACTGAGAAATAAAACACAATGAGAAATTCTTATAAACAACAACAGTAATAGGACAGTGAATCATATACAAAGAAAGAAATAAACAAGAACAATTTTGAATTAGAATTTTGAAAAAAGGAAAGAAAGCGAATTAGAAGAAATATGAAGAATTGTGGGTAATTATCAAGGAATAATGACAAATAAATAAATATGAGATTTGCATAAAATTCACCAAAAAAAAAATCGACATAAGAAAGACATAGCGAGAAAGAATAAAACCGAAGGAACAATAATTCAAATAAAAATAAGATAACTAGAGAAACACTGAATAAAAATGAATACAGAGAACTGGAATTAAGGACGAAACAATAATATAACTGACTAACACAAAAGTAAATAAAATGAAAGACAAATAGAACTAAAATTAAGCATAGGAATAAAACAGAATTCAGTATATATTTTTTCTAGGAATAAGGAAAGGGAAATAGATAACCATGCTCAGGAATAAGAACCGGATAAAGAGAAGACTAAATAACAAATTGAAGATATGCATACGAATAATAGTAAAGGGGTATAGCGAAATATAGAAACAGGGGTAAAGAATTAATACCAAATAGATAGGAGAGAGAGAGAGAGAGAGAGAGAGAGAGAGAGAGAGAGAGAGAGAGAGAGATAGAGACGGGGTGAAGATTAGAAAAAATGAAAATCTACAGTCACAAATTAATAGAAATCTATATATATTATTATTATTATTTTCAATCTCTCTGTGTTATAGAATGGCCAGAGTCAAGAGTAAACAATCTCTCCCTTCATTCTCTCTCACTTATTCACCTTTATTGCTCTAACTAATATATTCTGATATGGTATTCCCCTTTCAACAACACGGCCCCAAACTATCAACAATAACATATAAATTGGTACACGGAGAGTTAGGCGGAATGCTAAAGCTTTGAATTGTATTAACCATTCGTCGTTAGTCAATCCTTCTATCCATCTATGATTAGGATCCAACTCCATCAACTCCCGGTCCTTGCGATTTCCAACGTCACGTCAGCTGCAGCACCATCCGTTTGTCAGCAACAGTAAATTCAATTCTAATATCACACGCGGCCAGTGACCTGTATTCTCAAGCTCTCATCAGATGTGTGTTATTGCACCGTAATCCTTTTATCCCCCTCTGGTTCTGAAATCTTAAACCTTTCAATCTTTTAACCTCTCCAGTCATCTCTACGACTATTGTGATTTTAAGCATTTCATCTCTCAAAGGCAGTATCTGTTTCTATGACTCAGCAATGCTAATATGAGGAAATAGACCACAAAGTTTTGATTAATTTGATACTAGGGTTTCGTTTCTTTCTATTTCCTGAAAGCATTTGGTTCATTTATCTCTATGTAACAGTGATTCTCAGCACCTCTCAGCTCATGAACTCCACCGTCTGTGATTGATGTTCTAATTTTCAAGGAGGAACTGAACTAAATCCCCCGAGACAGCGTCTGATGAGATATCCCTGTTTCGTTATAAGTTACACACTAAAAAGCTTTTATTCCTTGGGGCTATCCACCCATCTCTTCATCCTCCATAACACACTGGGAATCCTCACCTCCGACATTTATGTATGACTGCATTTTTAGTGCTACACTTAAGTCTACGGGCAAAGCTCCATAACTGTTTATTTTGTATTTATACTGTTTCTTTGATCAATTATTTCAACTATATACCAGTAATCGTGATTCTCGAGCTTTTCAATGCCTTAATATGTACATTAGTTTGTTTACAAGTCTCTGTCAACTCTTTGTATATGATCTAATATAACACGGAGGCTGCAACTGAAGCCCCAAAGGTTTGTTTAGATTAATACACTTGCCTCGTCAAAACCCCACATTCAAAAGGCAAGCTTAATTACACCAGCTGCCACTACCAAGAGCACACAGGTGGTGAGAGAGGCAGGTAGTCTGGCCAGCTCTCTGCTAATTACACACCGCCAGCTGCCCTTATGAACGGCTCAAACGAATTAGCAGAATTTTTCTCCCCAGTTGCACCAACGCTCAGCTGCCTGGTCTGTCCAGGTTTGACGCCAGTGAAATGATGAATGGTGGAGTTTTTGTGTTTGTGGGCCAAGAGAGACGGGCTTTTATTCTGTTTCAAAATGACAATATGAGGTTATTTTTCGCTCTCAGCCTGTCTGTCTGTCTGTCAATCTGTCTGTCTGTCTGTCTATCTGTGTGTCTATCTGCGTATACGTGAATGAGCAAAGCGAGAGAGAAATTACACAGTATTACATATAAGCAAAACAGGAGTACTAGGTGACTGGTATCATAACTCCGTTCCACAGTTAAGACAACGTTATCACGTTCATAAATGTTATAAATACAAATATGTAAAGGTCAACAAAATGTTACTCCAGGGTAGAAAAAAGGTTATTGCTGGAAAAATTTTTACAAAAGTGCACACAATGTAAATATTGTCTCGAAGTTTATTCAGCAAGTCAAATAGAATTGCTATGTGCCAATGTTATAATGTTATTGTAATTGTTAACATCTCCGCCATGAGTCAAATATTTTGAAGAAAGAGACAGTGGGGAAACGACACACACACACACACACACACACACACAAGAGAGAGAGAGAGAGAGAGAGAGAGAGAGAGAGAGAGAGAGAGAGAGAGAGAGAGAGAGAGAGAGAGAGGGGGGGGGGAGTATACAGATGAAAATAAAGACATTTATATATAAGCAGAGAAACACTGAGGTAGACAAACAATGAGAGGCACAGAGACAGATTGGTGTAGAACGAGACAGAGAGATAGATAGAGATGAATGTTAGAGCCGGGATGAGTAGGAAATAACAATGAAATAGGGTGTTGGTGAGCCAGATGACTCGTATCCGTGTACACTCAACACCACTCACTGCCCAGGCAGGATTCGAATCAACACAGCTCACATGGCAGGCGAGGACAACCAACAACTGTACCATAATCAGTGTGTTCGTGTGTTATAATTGCCTATTCGTACCAGGTTTTCCTAGTGTATATATATATATATATATATATATATATATATATATATATATATATATATATATATATATATATATATATATATATATCTATATACTTGTTTATTTACTGATTATATCGTCCATTTTGAACCCAGAGAGAAGAAGACCCCTTACCCCCAAGTTAAAATACGGCAGTTTTAAACCCCATAAGGAGTGATATACCCCTTTTAACCCCAGATAGTTTCATACTCTTCTTATCTCCTCAGTATAACCTACGCTTCATAACCCCAGACATTACCACGTATTGCCATATCGTTGGCATGCAAGTACCACCAACGATATTACTCCTGGGATCGCTGTAGCCCTTTGCTCTGTTGATACCCTCTAGTGGACCGCGTTACATCTCTCTCTCTCTCTCTCTCACTACATCTATGTTATCTCTCCCTCTCGCCAGAAATTAATCATTTCCTCCCCTCTGCGATATCTAATCTGGTACTTACTCTGGTTAATGAGTTTGTATTGTGAAGGCGGCGTTGTCTTGTTGGATGTCATGACCCTGCACACCCAAAATTAGTGAAAGGTTAAGATCTCTCTCTCTCTCTCTCTCTCTCTCTCTCTCTCTCTCTCTCTCTCTCTCTTCTTGTGACTTTGTATCTGTCTTGCATTGTCTCTGTCTCTCTCTGGAATTAATCCTTTTCCACTTCTCTTGAAAGTCGAGTCTTCAGTTCTTGTGATTCGTAGTTACACGTGCTTACTTTCCTTAATGAGTTTGTATTGTGAAGGCAGAGCTGCGTCAGGGTCAGAGATAACCTGGGTACCTCCACTTGCTTCCAGAGTTAGGCTGTTTCCCTCTCCTGGTTCACCCTCACTTTGTTTCTTTCTCTTATGGTCTACAACTTAAATATTTTCTACATTTTATCTTGTGTAATTTTTGCTTTGTTTTGATATCGTTTGCCTCTTTCTGGATGTCTCTTTCATTCCGTGTTTTTGTTCATCTTTCTCTCTCTATCTCTGTAATTAATTTGTGCGGTCTTAAAGGAATTTCCCCATGTAAACTCCTTCAGGTTACTTATGCACTCGTGTTTATATACACACACACCCTCATGAATACCCGTGCACACAAACACACACCCAAACACACACACACACACATATGCACTTACCAAGACAAATATTTACATACAGTACATTGAAACACAAATACAGCAACTCAAAATGACTTATAAGTATATATTTATCCTTAGACATATTCATACTAATATATACTAAAATACAAGCACTCAGGTGTATACGTGTACACACTCTCTAGCCACTGAACTTACATTCTCATTTATAAATACACACACAGTCACAGACCCTCCCAAGATACTAACATACACCTCTCATTACACTCTCCCTCCACAGACAAAAAACAAAAAAACATCCCCCACTCCCTGATCTCATTTCCCGGTAAAACAGAAACGTGATACACATTTAATTGATACACTTTTTTTTTCAGGTGTATGAAACATTACACAGAGATATAATGTTATCAGGAAGAATCTCTTATTGAAATAGCGTACTTGCCTGGTAGGGGG